ATATACACTCTACAAGCCCCAGTGCTACCAACCCTTTTGTCCTGGTCAATCTCATGCAAGAGAACATTGTTGTAGATATGAATCACTACAGATCTTGTTAAAATATAGATTCTGGGGCAGTAGTATTGGGATGAAGCCAAAGATTCTGCCCTTCTAACAAGTTCCCAGGTAGTTTTATACCCCCAAATTGAAACCTAACCAACTCCACTTCTTTATGTAGCCAGATCACCAAAGCCTAGATCCTGAGTACAAAGTGCCCTTAATGGATGAATTTCACTCAGTGGGTAAACAGATTTTGGTTAAATCTTCTCCTCGCCCTGTTCTCTGTTCTGCCCACATGCTTTGAGTCCTAAAAGCCATAGTCACCTCAAGGAGAAGTAGCTCAGAACAAAGCAGGACAACATCCTGATGGGAGGCCTGCCTAAACCCATGCCTGTTCTTTTCTAGACCATTTATTTCCTGTTACCAAAGAGACAGGAAGGCCCAGGGCAGTATCACCCCGACAAGGACTGGGCACATATATGGAAAGCAGAGTTACAAATATAAAGTTCAGAAGAGTTCAATGATGATGATAATGATGATAAAGATGATGTCAGCTAACATTTATTGCACACTAAGTGCTGCGCACTATGCTAAATACTTTACGTGAATTATCTCATATAGTCTTCTAAATATATCTACAAAGTAGATAATATCATGGTGTCTATTGTAATGACAGAGACAGACAGATGAGCACATAGGTAACTGTTATATCTCATATCACAATTAAAGTCCAGTGATTGTACGAATCACATTCATATTAAAAATCAAAATATTAAGTAGACGGCTTCTCTTCCATTTTGTCCTAGAGACACGTAACATTTATCCCCTATAACATTCATGCATTGCCACCTCGCAAGAGATGGCTAGAACATACAAGATGTTTCCAGGAAAAGCTTAAGTTTTCTAGAAATGGCTAAAATATATGCCTATCTTAATGTATCAAATATTGCATCACTGATGTGGGCAACTTAAAAAGATGTGTTCTCAACAGTTGAGTCCTGTGACTGAGTCAAATAATAAAAACGAAGTTTTCACATACTTTTACTTTTATCCATACCTTTTTTTAATTTCTATTATCATTTTACATAGTGTTTTCTTGCAATCAGCTAATAGTTCCATGCAGCATTTCTTAAAATATCACAATATATTGTCTTCAAAACTTTTTATTTTTTATTTTTCAATGTTTGTTTACTTTTGAGAGAGAGACCATGAGCTGGGGAGGGGCAGAGAGAGAGAGAGACAGAGGATTCAAAGTGACTCTGCACTGGGAGGAGAGAGCCCAATGCAGGGCTCAAACTCACAAACTGTGAGATCATGACCTGAGCCAAAGTCGGACGCTTAACTCACTGAGCCACCCAGGCGCCCCTGTTGTCTTCAAACTTGTAATGTGCTTTAGATATGCTTGGTTGAGCAGAAAGTAGTTCATCTTGTGTTTTGGTTTTATAATCCTACTGTCTTTACAGAAAGAACTAGCTACAATACCACGGTCTTTCCAGGTCAAGCACTTAGTGATTACTATATATTTCTTAGTTTGCATAAGTATGCATCTTTGTTATTAAGAATTAGTGTTTTCTAGAATAAAAAGCCATATATTTATCAAAAAACATCAATGCAGGCAGCAGTAAGAGTGAGATGGATTACACATTGACCTCTGAATAATCTCATAATCTGGTGAATGGGTTAATTTTTACAGTTCTGTGAGGGTCCTCCTTTGTCTCCAAAGAATAAGAACAATCCAAGAGAGTGAAAAGGAGAAGGCAAATAGATAAAAGAAAACTGAAATAAGTTGAAAGACAGTTACTCACCTCTTTTCTTCTGACTTTTATTGCTGTGGAAGGCACAGAGATTTCAAAGCCACTCAAGTCCATGTTTTAATCTCGCATTTGCCACTACGTGTAGTTATAACATCAGGCAGTTTGCTTAGCCTAAATCTGTTTCTTCACTTCTGCCGTGTAGACACTATTACTCTCCCAGCCCAGTTGTTGGTTAGATAGAAGGTATGGAGCCTGGAAATAGAACAACAGAAAGCAGCTGTTGATAATGGTAGCTTGTTATTAATGATCACTACTTCTTCATCTGTTCAACTTTCAACAAATATTTATTTTTTTTTATTTTTTTAATGTTTATTTATTTATTTATTTTTGAGAGTGAGTGTGCATGCATGCGAGCAGGGGAGGGGCAGAGACAGGGAGAGAGAGAACCCCAAGCAGGCTCTGTGCCACCAGTGCTGAGCCCAGTGTGGGGCTTAAACCCAGGAACCATGAGATCATGACCCGAGCCAAAATCAAGAGTCAGACGCTCAACCGACTGAGCCACCCAGGTGCCCCAAGAAATGTATTTTAGAGGTAATCTCAGGGAACATTTGAGGGGCATAGGGAAGTGAGATGGGACAGGGAAGAAAGCCAAGGAAGGGACTGTGGTGAAGCAGGTTACTACTTTGGAAAACTAGAGTTTAACCCCACTGGAAAGCTCTGGGGGCCAGTGTAAAACACACTCCTTAGAAACCTCACATCTAAGGGGCAAGAGACCTGGGTTATCTGTCCACCAATTCCTACCAGATATTGGTTAGGGCTGCACCCATCAACAAATATTTATTGATCACCTCTCTGTGGCAGGAATACAGGGAAGTCCCAGGAATACAGTGAATAAACAGATAAAGTCTCTGTCCTCAAGAAGTTTGTTTTATTCTCTGAATACCCGGTTATCAAAATTCCAGCTTCCCATACCCTACTCCACTGAAATTTCTCTGGCAAAGTCACTGTTGCTGGACCTACCAAATAAGATGGACCTCAATAAGACCTTTTTGTAGCATCTAATAACATTGAGCACTAATAGCAATGATTCTTGATGTCTAGAATACTCTCTCCTGATTTCCTTCTACCTTCTGACTGAAACTTGCCAGTCTCTGTTGCTAGTTTGTCTTCTGTTACCCTTTTAATTAATATTTCTTAGTATTCTGGCTTTGCCTTTTTCCTTTACACTCTACACTAGTAGTTCTTGAACCTTCAGAGTCATGAACTCCTTTATGAATCTGAAGAAGTTATGCACCCTCTCCACAGGGGGGAAAATGAATCTACATACAAATATACAAAAGTGTGCATGCATTTTCAGGAGCTTCACAGACCTTTCTCCCTTCCCATAAAGCCCATCATTGAACTTCATGTTAAGGGGTTTTCATGGCTTTAACTATTCCCCATATGTCAATGAGCCTCAAATATCTGTCTCTCACATAAACCACTTTCCTGAGCAATAGGCTACTTTCATATGACTTATTGACAACTCCACATGAATGTCCCTTTAGGCACCCTAAAACTCAAGATATCCCAAACTAAAGTCTTCATCTCTCTCCAAAAACCTGTTCTCCTGGAGGACAATACCTATGGGAAAGAAAACACTACTTGTGAACCTAACATACCTAGATTTAAATCCAGCTCTGGAAGCTTCAGAAATATACTTAACCTCTTTCTGCTTTAATTTCTTCATATTTAACATGAGAATAGTACCTCCATTTTCTGTATTTTTATGAGAATTAAAACAGATAATGGGAAAATCCCTATCCAAGTGCCACTACATAGTATACATTCCACAGATATTAATATTACTGAATTCCCAATACAGCAAAAGCAACACCTTTCACCAAGTATCCTAAGTCAAAAAGTCAGGAGTTATCATTATACACCCTTCCAACCTATCTTCTAAATGGCAGCCAGAGGATCTTCCCAAGACACAAATCTGATGATGCCATGACTCTGCTTCAATCTTCCCAACTGCTTCTCGTTGTTCCCAGGATTACATCTATCTTAGTATTGTACTGAAGGCTGACTACGATCTAGTCCCTGTCTATGTCAAACTCATTCTCTTGATTACTTGTAGATCTCCCCAAAAGCGTGCAGTGTTTTTGATTCCATAACTCTCTTCACACTGCTCCCTTTGCCTGAAATGTCCTCACCCCTCCACATCTTTTCTTGGTATTCAGGAAAACACCCATTCATGTTTCAGAATACAGTTCAAGCATCACCTCTGCTATGAAGTTACTCCTGACAGCCTCCTGCCATACTATTGATCACTGACTCCTTTATCTCCCATCTGTAACTGACAGATGATTTCTATCACGGTAAAGATGAATAGCATATGGCTCCTGGTTTCAAAAAGCTTACAATCATTCAACCAGAAATCCTCTTATATAACCTGTACAAGTAAGCCAAAAAGAAATTAGGAGGCACGAAAAATTGAGTTGTACATAACTTCAACACCCAGCTCAGTGGTCCCTTCTTAGAAGCCTTTCTGTGACTCCCAAGCTCTGAGCTGTGTGTGTGCATATGTATAGTTATATGTTAGCTATATATAAACTCATTTACTCTTTACAGTGTATGGGGCAGGGGCACTGTTATTATTCCCGTTTTACAGGTGAGGAAATTAAAGCAAAAAGAGACTAAGTAACTCATCTAACATTACTTACCCAGAAATACTGGCATGAAAAAAGTATGGACTTCAATTAATTTTAAAAAAAAAAACACAATTGACAAATGAAAATTACATACTGTTTATAAATAAGTCGTTTGATATATATTTATTGAGCCTATTAAGGCCTGGTACACAAATAGAAAAACCTAGGTGCCCTATGCTCGAAAACAGGGATTCGTGCAAAATTAACAAGTGTGATATAAAGAACCATAGATTGTAGCTCTTGGGGGGCAGTAAGAACGCCTTAGGGTGGAGGAATCTACCAAATAGATCAATGAGTTGAAGAACCGAACGAAATGAAATGAGCCACTTAACCGAGACCAGAAACCCTCCTCCTTCCACGTCACCCAGCCTCACCTTTCCTCCTCCTACATCGCTTTTGCCCACTAGCCAATGGAAGGTAGGCTCTACATACTTACTGTGCGCGTGCGCATCATCAATTCGACGATCCTTCGCATCGATGTTTTCGGAAGCAACTTCTTCAGCCTGGTCACTACCGGCGTCGACGCTACCTCTGCTGCCGCCGCCGCCGCCGCCGCCGCCATTTTGACGGCGGAAAGAGCGAGGGTCTGGGACAGCTGGAGGCGGCGGCGGTAACTGGTACGGATGGTTTCCGCCCGCGTTAGCCCCTCCAAGTTCGCCGGTCTTGGGGCCACAGCACTCGGTATTGCTTTTATTCCCACAGGGTCCCGTGTCTCTCCCCAGTCTTGTCACTCTGTCTTTAGGCTGTTTTTCGCTTCCTCACTGTCAGCGGTGCTTGAACCCTCGTTTGGAGCTGTTATCAAACCCCGCCACTCCCCCCGGACCTGTGTTAATATACCCGCCTCGACGCTGGGGACTCAGGCTGGGTCACCGACTTCTCGTTCCCCGCCCTCATCCGGTCCGAGTTGCTTTTGGGGGTGGGGGGCACAAACCGGGAGGGCTGAGGGCAGCACGGCCTCCTCTGGGCAGGGATCTGTGCCCTTTAGGGGGAGGGGAAGACCCAATTCTGGCATTCTTGGGTTACGGAGAGAGCTTGGGCTTTAGCTTTAGCTTTAATGGTGGTGGAGAGAAGCATAGAATAGTCGGCGTTACCCGAGCTTTGTGTTGTTAGAGCTTAATTTGTCACTGGCCTCTTTTGTCCTTTCTCAGGAATAACTTTACGAAAGGAAAGGTATTTTGCACCCTCTCTCCCCGCTGGAAATGGCCACTGTGAGTAAATTAGTCTCTTAAGCGGTATAGTGGTTTGGGCACTTTTAGGAAATGGAGGGTTTGGTTTAATTACGGCATTGGTGGCGTAATGTTTCTTGTGAAAAGTGTCAAGGGAAGGAAGGGGTGTGAAATTCTGTTCGTATGCTTTGAAGGTAGTTTGAAAAAAACTTTCTCTTCAGTACACATGTACTTGTTTCTGCAGATTCATTTTTGGAAATAAATTCAGTGCCAGCATCCTTCCGATATTTTTTAGAGACATTATTTCAGGAAATATTCAGAATCTATTTTTAAGCTTTTTATTATTTTTATTTATTTATTTATTTATTTATTTTTTTTTTTGGTTCGCTAACCTGAAAGTTTTCTAGCAGTTTCAGTATAGGAAGTAACCTTCCAAATCCTGCAAAATGAGAGCAAGAGGTATAATTCACATAGACCAGAAATATTTATTGATTGTAATTCTCCAATAATTAGACATATCCTCCCATGAGGAGTTGATATAGGGGGACACTAGACATACATGAAATAGCTGCATTAAAAAGTATAAAGTAGGGGCGCCTGGGTGGCTCAGTCGGTTAAGCGGCCGACTTCGGCTCCGGTCACGATCTCACGGTCCCTGAGTTCGAGCCCCACATCAGGCTCTGTGCTGACAGCTCAGAGCCTGGAGCCTGTTTCAGATTCTGTGTCTCCCTCTCTCTCTGCCCCTCCCCTGTTCATGCTCTGTCTCTCTCTGTCTCAAAAATAAATAACACGTTAAAAAAAATTAAAAAAAAAAAAGTATAAAGTAATTGGGATGCCTGGGTGCTTCAGTTGGTTAAGCGTCCGACCCTTGGTTTTAGCTCAGGTCATGATCTTGGGGTTCCAAAGCCACGCATCGATCTCTGCACTGAGCATACAGCCTGCTTGGGATTCTCTCTTTCTCCCTCTGCCCCTCTCACGCTTCCTCTCTCTCAAAAGACATAAATAAACTTAAAAACAATTCTAATTATTTCTTAAAAATTACACAGTGCAGGTTCAAAGCTTTGTGGAGAAGAGAAACTAGGGGTTTGGGATTACTTAAAGAAGCATTTAATCTGAGTTTTGAAAGAAGAGTGAAACTTAGATAATCGGAGATTTGAATGGAAGAACAGGAGGTATATTCAAAGACACCCTCCCTTTCAGAAATCAAGAAGTCATTTTTGCCTTGTGGAATGTAAGATACGTGAAAGAGGTTAGTGGGAAATAATGTTGGGTTGTGGAGTTGGAATCAAATAATAGAGAGCCTTGAGTGTCGCAGTATTTAGATTTGATTCTTTAAATTGTGGTCATTTTAGCAGAGCTGTGTTAAGAAGATTAATATGGCAGTAATTAGCCAGGATAATGCAATTAAACATGATATATTAAGAGTCTAATGATGTGACAGTAGGGACAAGTCATAAAAGTAGACCACTAGTCTTGACCCCATCTTAAGGTGAATTTTTACCTAGCCGAGGGAAAGTTGTAAAAGAAGCATGTGTACTCTCAAAGGAGAAACCTTAATTAGAATAGAATATTAAGGTTTAACCTGCATTTGTGTGTGCATGCATGCTGAATGGCTGTCAGTAATGAAACATGCAAGTATGTCTTCAACAACTTAGTTAGCATACATAGCAAGAGTTGTCCATGTTTCAGAAGCTGGACAGGTAAATCAGGATGCCTTGATAGGAATTTTGACAAATTGCAGTGTTCACTACTGATGATGGGAGGAGCCTTCCATAGCTACGGTGATTTGTTGCTAACCAGTGCCATTTGAAAATAGGAATCCAGGGCTGCCAGCTCTTCCATGTTTCCAAGAACAGTGCTAAATATGGGCTTTTTGTGGAAATCTACAGTTTCTCAATGCTGATATTCAATTCAAGTTTCTTCTAACAGTGTGGATCACACAAAAATGTCTGTAGACGGATATGGATGAATTTCCTAGATGACCAGTTTTCGGTCTTTGGTATAGACCATATTTTCTGCTCACATGACCAAAAGCAGGATTTAGTCCTAAAATAGTATCTAAAAGACTGTTTCTCTTTTTATACTAATAAAGATTTTAGAATTAAACCTTAATAGCCTGTCATCTTCCCAAATTTAGAATCCTAGGTTTGAAGTAATCATATAAAATACATAGTTGTCCTCATACTAAAATAAACTGACTGTTCTAATTTTTGAGTTATTTATTGGCTCACTTTTAGTTCTTATATTTACCAGTTGACCCAATGGCATAAAATCTGCCAAGTAAAGAATTAGAGGATCAAACAAGTTAGAAGATGAAATTTGAAACACGTTAGCACTGTCGTCAGCTATTCTTTCAGTGGATAAATTAGATACTTAATGGCTTATTTTGCCATTAAAATGAAACTTGGTTAAATAAATAAAGTGAAACTTGGTGAGTAGATTTTCTTAGATTGGGAAAAAAACTCACATTTTACTGTAACTTTTGTTAAAAGCTTTACCATCAAGGAAAAATACCGAAGTAGAATTAGTGGCCTTGGTACTCAGAGGCTTAAATAATCCTTAATATTATTAGGCAGTTGCTAAAATAATTTGGATAATCTTTCTGTTTCCTTTTTTACTTGTGAAGCAATGTATTATTACACATAATATTTTAGTAATCTTAAATAATATTAAATATAATATTTAATACTTTAATGTTAATGGTATATGGAACTGGTGTGGAAATGAGTAAAACAGTGCATGTAAGCACTTAGCACACAGAACCTAGCCAACAGTAACATCCATTGATTATTTACTATTTAATATTGTCCCCTTCAGATAATATTTTATTCAATCTTTTACTTTGAGGCCTTGCCTAAAATATTTTTGGAATTTAAAATTTATATTGCCTTTAGATCCTGAGCCATATTCTGTTAAATGTAAATGTCTTCAATTGTAAAGGTAAATTTCAATTACAGAAACACCCAAAAGCCTGAGTTTGTCTGGTAGGTTAAAATCTAATAACTATCACATTTGGTTCTTTGGGCAGGTTGGGTGCTAACCCAAGGGAGCGTGCTTAAATTTTCAGGTGGGCAGAATACTCTTCAGACAGGCCTTGTACTTTGGAGACACATAAAGGAGGTTCTCTTTATCCAGATCTTGAAATTTGCTAGACCTAGAAGGAGAGGCAAAAGGGCAGAAATCTTATGGCAGTATAAAAGAAGGCAGAAAAATATGGGAAATGTTAGGTAGATAGATATTTTTATGTGACAAAAGAATAGAAAAGGGAAAGGACGGTAAAGCTAGTAAGAAATTATGCCAGAGAGGTAGAAAGACCAGTTAGGATATTCTCTTCTATTTATGATGAAAAAAAGGTCACAGAATACCTGGGTTGAATTTCAGAATACTATATGAAAGGGATAATATTCTAAAGTATCAAATGGCTACACTATTTCAGTATCCTGGTGACTAGTTTACATGCCACCTCTCTAATCCCACTCCAGGCCCTACTGCCCTGAGTGGTACGTTCCTAAAAACATTCCTTGTTTTTATCAGTTTACACTATTCTTTCCTGCCTCCAGATTAAAATTCTGGTTTGTTGTCTTGATGTAATAAGTCCTTTACTGTGTAAAATACATAGTGTTTTATAATTGCCCACAACTTAACTTTCAAGCCTGTTTTTTACTGTATTCCCTTATCTATGTATCCTCATTGAACTTTTCACTGTTTCGAAAATACCTTTTATGACTATACATCTGTTCCTAAAGTCACTCACTGAAATGCCCCTTTCCTTCTCAACTTATTGCTGTTTCTTCAAAACCTAGTGTATCCTCTGAAATTTTTTTCCTACTCCCTTTCAAGGATCTCTTAATTGTTCAAATCTTTTAATAGCATTTCACAGATAATGTGGTATTTGTTCTTAAATATTGCCTACTAAACAAGGAGTTGGCATTTTAGTTTTTTAATGCAAAGGGACAGATAAGTAAATATTTTAGGCTTTCTGCAGTCCCTGTGCAACTGTTTAACTGCCATTATGGCATGGAAACAGCAGTAGACAATACATGAGGAAAATGGAAGTGGCTGTGATAGAATAAAACTTTATTTGCCAAAACAGCAAGCTATATTCAGCTATAGTTTGCCAACCCCTGCATTAAATTACTCTGACCCAAGTATTTTGCTAGAAGTTTATGCGTGAAAGATGTTTACACGTTCACCCATTGTAACTGACCTCAGAGTCCAGGAACAAAGGAGCAAAAAATGTACCACAAAGCTACGTACTAAAGGTTTTGAAGGTCCTTAAGAATGGAAAAATCTTATTTGTACTACGTTTTTAGTATTGTTCCTAAATAGGGCAACTTTTAGAAGTTCCTATTCTCTCTAATGTGGCACTCTTGATTCTGGCCTTTATTGGAAAGGCCACATTTTTACACAAAGTAACTTACTGTTTGTTTCTTAATAGACTTGTTTTTTAAAATTATATACATAATGCTTGTCAAATGGTAGTTGCTCAATAATAGAATAAAATTTGGTTTTAAAAGATACATTGCAGTGTGAGGATTTGCCACAGATTGTCTAGAAGTATAAAATGTATGTTCAGAACAAATAGTTTTCATTTTTGTGTTATTCTTAGGTGCTGTGTAATAGAGCCAGACTAGTTTCCTATCTCCCAGGATTTTGCTCTTTAGTTAAAAGGGTTGTCAATCCCAAAGCCTTTTCAACTGCAGGATCTTCAGGTTCTGATGAGTCTCATGTGGCCACTACACCTCCAGATATATGTAAGTAAAACTTATTATTGATTTACATATAATTATTGCAGAACATTTCGAGTTGTGCTTTCTGTAATGTTTCTTGAGGCTTTACAGATCTTACAAGGTTAAGTTTATGCCATTAAAAATAAAATCAGCTCTGTATACATATTTATATTGGAGAACTACAATGAAAAAGAAAAGAATACATTTGGTTTTTAAAACTTATTTTCTTGAACTGTAGTTTCTATTGTAAACACACTTAGTCCTGCCTGAAACAAATCTTTTGATCCCATAAACTACTATCAATTATTTGCTGAATTTCTTAAATTTAGCTGGTATTTTGTGTATATATACACATGCATATATTATTGAAATATGATTTGCATACTTGCATTAGATTCAGAAGTACAATATAATGATTCAGCAGTCGTATATGACACCGTCTACAGATAAATGTACTCCTAATCCCCCTTACCTGTTTCACCTATGGCCCTGCCCTCCTCCCCTCTGGCAAACACCAGTTTATTCTTTTTATTTGAGACCGTTTTGTTTCTTTTATATTTTAGTCATCTCACAAAAATTTGTTCTTCAAACTAGTTCTCTTTAATGTAGAAAAGAGGAAGGATTTTTTTTTTTTTGGAATATAATTAATAGAGTGTATGCTAGTTTTAAGTATACAGTAAAATGATCAATTTTGTACATTTCTCAGTGCGCATCAAGATAAGTATACTCTTGATCTCCTCTATTTCATCCCTCCCCCACACATGCTTTCCTTCTGGAAACCACCAGTTTGTTCTCTGTATTAAAGACTATTTTTGTTTGTCCCCTTTTTTCTTAATTCTGCATGAGTATAATCATATAGCGTTTGTCTTTTTCTAACTGAATTTTTTCTCTTAACATTATACCTTCTACATCCATCCATGTTGCTACAGATGGCAAGCTTTCATTATTTTTTATGGCTAAGTAATATTCCATTTTGTTTTTTTTTTTTATTTTTTTTTTAATTTGTTTTTTAATGTTTATTTTTGAGACAGAGAGACAGAGCATGAACAGGGGAGGGTCAGAGAGAGGGAGACACAGAATCTGAAACAGGCTCCAGGCTCTGAGCTGTCAGCACAGAACCCGACACGGGGCTCGAACTCACGGACCGCGAGATCATGACCTGAGCCGAAGTCGGCCGCTTAACCGAACTGAGCCACTCAGGCGCCCCAGTAATATTCCATTTTGTATGTATATCATATCTTTATACGTTCATCTGTTGGTGGGTATTTGGATTATTTCCATATCTTGGCTATTATAAGTAATGCTGCATTAAATATAGGGTCCATATGTCTTTTTCTTTTGTGTTTTCATTATCTTTGGGTAAATACCCACTTTGCAGTTACTGGATCATTTGATAACTCGTTTTTTAAATTTTTAAAGAGTTTCCATTCTGTTTTGCACAATGGCTGCAATATAAGAATGCAGTTTCCCACCAACAGTGCGTGAGAGTTCCTTTTTCTCCACATCCTTGTCAACCCAGGTTATTTCTTGCATTATTAATATTAGCTATTCTGAGACAGGTATAAGGTGATATCACATTGTGGTTTGGGTTTGCCTTTCCCTGATTATTGATGTTGAGCATTTTTTCATGTGTCTGCCATCTATGTGTCTTAGACAAATGTCTCTTCAGGACCTCTGCCCCTGTTTTAATAGGATCTGTGTGTGTGTGTGTGTGTAAGTTTTTTATATATATATTTTGGATATTGACCCCTTATCAGGTATATCATTTGAAAATATCTTTTCCCATTCAGTAAGTTACTTTTTTTTTTTTTTTTCTCGTGCTATTAATGGTTTCACTGTGCAAGACTGTTTCCTTTTGGTATAGTCCCAATAGTTTAATTTTGCTTTTGTTTTCCTTCCCCAAGGAGACATATCTAGAAAAAAGTTTCTATAGCCAATAATAAGGAAATTATTGCCTATGTTATTGAGGTGTAATGACATACAATGTTGTATTAGCTTCAGATATACAACAGAGTAATTCAACACTTCTGAACATTATACAATGCTTACCACAAAGGAGTTACCATCGATCACCATATGATATTATTACAGTATTACTGACTGTATACCTATGCCTTACTTTTTCATCCTTCTGACTTAGTTTATTTTATAACTGAAAGTTTGTACCTCTTACTGTCTCATACCTAATTAGCCCATAGTACTACCCACTTTCTCTCTGGAAACCACCACTTTTCTGGATTTGAGTATGTTTCTGCATTTTGTTTCTTCATTTGTTTTTTTATGTTTCACATGCAAATCATGTGGTATTTGTCCTTCTTTGTCTGACTTATTTCACTGAGAATTGTATCTTCCAGGTCCATCCATCTGTGCTACAAATGGCAAGATTTCATTCTTTTCTTTATGGATGATTTATTCTATCGTGTGTATACACAAGTTCTTTATTCATTTATCTATTAGTATACACTTAAGTTGTTTGCTATCTTATCTATTATAAATAATGTTGTGTACATCAGGGTGCATATATCTTTTATTAATTTCAACATTCATTTGTTTTGAGGAAATACCCAAAGTGGAATTTCTAGATTGTCTGGTAATTCTATTTTTAATCTTCTTCAAGGAACCTCCACACTGTTTTCTACAGTGGCTGTGCACCAATTTGCCTCCTACTAGCAGAGGACAAGGGTTCTCTTTTCACATCCTCACCAACGCTTATTTCTTTTTGTCTAGCCATTCTGACTGGCATGAAAATGCTGTCGTATGAATTTATCAATATCGGAGTGAAGGAATGCTTGTTTTGTCATTTCTGTAATGATTTTCAGTTTTTCTCCAGAAAAGGCAAAATATCTTA